ATTCATTTCTCCAGGCCACAGTTCGTCTTCATCAATAAAGTTACATCCTCCAGAGCCTTCCTGATAGCCTCCATCCTGGCAGGCAGAGTCTGAGGCCACCATGACATGTAGCACCTGGACAACAACAATCCTGGCTTGAACTTGGTCCCTTGGTCTCCAGTTCATCTGCAAGCTCTGTGAAAACCAGATTTGGTTCTCTCCTTTCTATCCCATAAGGAGTCCTACATAAATGTCTATTGAATAGTGAATTCCAGGGATTTTGCTGAAATTCACTTTACCCACTTAAGTCACCAATTTAGCTAGCAGGCAATGTGAGTCTGCAACTGAAACTCTTCTTTCTACACTGTCCTCAGGACTACAAAGTAGCATATAGAAAGAGATAAAACAATAGTGCAAATAATTCCTTATTTTAGGAAATTTAACTTCAGTTATGTTCAAGTTCCAAGCTATTCCAGTGCATTTGAAAATTAATTTGATTTAGTAAATTTCAATGACTGTGTCTGCAATTTGTGGTTAATATATCTGAAGTACCAGGCCTGGTAGCACACATCTTTAATCCCAGCACTCATGAAGCAGAAGTGGATCTCTTGTGAGTTTGAGGCCAGCATGGTCTACATAATGAGTTCTAGATCAGCCAGGCCTACATGGTGAGAGCCCGTCTTAAAACACACACACACACAGAGAGAGAGAGCTATCTATCTATCTATCTCTATCTATCTATCTATCATCTATATCACAAGGAAATGTGGTTCTAAGTCAAGGTTTGAATTGATGTATAGTATAAAGATGGCTAATGTCGTCTTGGAGGCTTGGGGGTAAGTTTGTTCTTCTTGTTTGCAAAGATAACTTGAAAATTACATAAAGAGTCAGAACTGTAAGACTCTAATTGTTCTCGATTCATGGACATTTGTCCAAATACCAAAAAAATGTAGGCGTAAACTCTTGATGCCCAAGACTCAAATTATTTCCATTCCAAGACAAGGTTTCCTTGTGATCCAAAATCAAGGTTGTAAGAGATTATTATATTCAAAAGCGGTTCCTTAGAATTGTTAAGAGGCAGGCCCTTGGGGGAGTTAGTTGGGTCATTGGAGTGCTGCCTTCTGAAGGGATGAAGGTAGTTTTCATGGAACCTGTTAGTTTCCACAAGAACTAAGACTTGTTATAAAAACAACTAAGAGCCAAGTGTGGAGACAGGAGGTTCTTGAGTAGCACATGAACCTGGACTACATAGAAAGTTCAAGAAAAGCCTGGACTACATAATGAGATCCCATCTCAAAGCATAAGTAAATATATAAATTAAATTAAATAGATTAAATTAAGAATTTTTATTTTTTTAAAAGAGTCAGATAGATGACTCAGTGTTTAGAGGCACTTGCCACCAAGGCTGAAGATCTGAGTTCAATCCCTGGACCTCATAAAACGAGAGAACCTCTACTTATGTGTCATGACATGCACACCCTCATATACACGATAAATAAATAAATAATAAATAAATAAATTTTTTATTTTTAAGAATTATTATCAAAGAGCAAGGTTGGACATCTTCCCATGGTGACCCAATTCCTTACCAGAGGTCAAATGGGGCGGAGCAACTTGACCCTTTACTTTTCTTTGTATATTACCCAGCTTCAGATATCTTATTATAGCAACAGAAAACAAACTAATACAGATGTCTTCATAGTACCAGACACTTAGTGAGAGGTGAGTGGAAGATGCTTCATAGAGAGACTATCTTCTAGATGGTCCAGAACCCATGTAAAGGTAGAAGGAGAGAACCAACTCCTGCGACTTCTGACATCCACACTTACACTATCACATGCATTTGCACAAAAACACACATAAACAAATACACAACAATAAATAAAATGTAAAAGAAAATTTCTTTTTAATCACTGTGGCTTTATTCTTAAAAAATATTGAACAGCTAAAAATGAATAGATTCTAACCTGGGTATGGGCCAGAAAATCATCTCATGTTAAAAAAAAAAAAAAAGCAGTTTGGTCAGTAGAGTTAAATTGCCATTGATTGACCTTGATCCAAAGTTCTCTTACCTAGGCAAATGAATGCACACAAAAGAAGAAAGAAAGAAGGCAGCTTCTTCCACTCAGTGAGACTGTGATGAACAGATTTTAACATGCTGTTAATCATCATCCAAAACAATTTTCAGTCTCATTAAGAAGCCCTTTCTGAAGAGCCTGAGTGAGTGATGGCCAGGCCTAAGTACTGTATGAGCATGCAAGCATTGAGGCCACACTTGGTGGCAACCTCATCTGAGCACCTCCATCCTGTGGGTGTTGCTTGTAGATCACACTGCATCAAGTGCAGTTTCTTTTTTTAAAAAAATATTTATTTATTTATTTATTTATTTATTTATTTATTTATGTATGTTTGTATTGCCTGCATGTATATAAGTGCATCCGTGTCATGCAATGCCCACAGAGGACAAAAGATGCCATTGGATCCCTGGGAACTGGAGTTATGTATAGTTGTCAGATGCCATGTGGATGCTGGGATTCAAACCCAGGTCTTCTGCAAGAACAGCCAGTGTTCTTAGCCACTGAGCCATCGCTTTAGTCCCTCAAGGGCAGTTTCTGGCTGAAGACAAAAAGTAGAAGCGGTAGAAATTCCCTACACACCTCTCTCAGGGTGGGAGAGGCAGAAAAATTGAGAATGGAGAGAACCAAATTGCATACCTGTGATTCCTTTTAAAGCAAGAAGGGTGTTTGCATATCCCCTCCTAGGTAGGAAATAGTCTGATTTTAGTGAAGAGGTGTGTGCAGTCTCTGCTCCTCCTCTTGATTGCTCATAGGAAGAACCAGCTCCTCTCAAAATGAAGCTTTGTGGGGAAAATAAAATTCCAGCAAGCTTTGATCCTAGCAATCGGAAGCCTGAGTTGGAGTTGACGGGGGCGTGTACACAGGTAATCCCATTCAGTTTTAGAGTCACATAAGAGAATTAGAGGGCTGGATTGGTGATATGTGATAAAGACACTTAATGGAATTTAGCGGTTTATTCTCGTTCAAATTATTGAACATTAAGTTTAAATGTTTTCATATAAATATTAAATTATATGTATATAGCTAAATCGCAAATTTGCACACTACCACTTGGCTTCAGAAGAAAAATGTGACTTCTTTATTTCCCATTGCTTATTTGTTCTTCCTCTAAGCTTGTGCTTACTGGGGAACGGGGGAAAACAAACTTTCCAATTAATAACATCTCAGGTCCTTCTTTTCAAATGTTATCTTTTGATCATTCTTTCAATTAAATAGAGAATTCTATTCATATTCTCTCTCTTCAGATGGCTTCTAGGGATGGGAAAGAGGGCCTGTGACCCACATGCAGTGCCCTGTTCCTGCCCAGATATAACCTATTGTCTTCTGGTTCACCCCTAGTCCTATCTGGCCTTTTGGAACACTGCAATTATTCCCTTCTGGATTATTCCCTTCCTCAGGGAGTCAGGGGCTCTACTTCCCATCACAGACCTGACCAAGCTACTGTGGCTCTGTGACACACTGGGCACAATATAGCATCTCCCAGGGTGTGGAAGAGGAAAGGGCTCTCCAACCCCAGTTGTCTCTCCCATTTCCACTCTATCCTACAAGCTTCCACCTTATAAAAGAAGAGGAAAATTTTTCCTCTAACAGCTGCATTTTCTTTGTTTCACCACAATTGGTTTTGGCCAGCTGAAGCTATAAAATGACTGTGACCTTTAGCAACACAGCCACCACTACCCAGAGAAAGCTGATAAACAATAAAGAACTTTGAATGACCCCAGTTCATCAGACCCTTACTGAACCTAACTTTCTTGATCAATGAGCAATGGGTTTATTTTAATCAAGCATAAGCTGATTGATGGACACGCTCTGACTTTGCCAGAGTGAAAACTTTCAATCACAAATTAAACACATGAACCTCCTCCCTCTCTGGTGCATAAAGCACCCTGGCTGTTCCTCCTGAGGCAATGCATTCACAGCTGGGTACTCCTCTAGTAGGGCCCTAAGAATTTCAGTCCATGCTTTGTTGAGCACTGTAGTCATTGGTTTTCCATGAGTGAATCTTACCAGGGAGAAGAAGGACACAGACATTAGGGGTCTTTGCCTTCTTTGGTCTTCAATGCTCTCCCAACAAAGTGTTCCCTTTCATTACCTAGGACTTCCCCAGTTTTGTTGTTGCTAGGAGACTATGTCAGGTGGCCTAACACTGGTGGCAGATTGAATGAAGGGGGAGACAGTGGATTTGTAATTAAGATATGTCTTGGGAAATATTTTTAAATTATCATTCCCCTATACACATATATCAAAAATGACTCAGGGAATCTGGTAGGCAAAAGTTAAAGGTCAAGATTTTACTTATTAGCTACATAATAATTTGAAACACTTTGTAAAGTTCTTAGAGTGAGCCATACACATTTCTAGGACCCTGACTCATTTAATTTTTGCATTGTCCCTATAAGGTAGGTACTACTATCTTCCATATCTTAGAAATGCGAAAACTGAAGTACAGGACAGTGAAGTAACTTCCAAGGTTACAAGGCGAGCTGTGCATGAGCAAGGTTCAAGTGTAGACGATTTGGCACCTGTGACACACTCAACTGCTGGGTGCTGCCACTGGGTGTCAGCACCAAACCTAAGGAGCAGCGGCCTTCTTAGAAAAAGTAAGTACACATACAGAGAACCTTCTAGGTACAAAAGAAGCATACACTTTCTAATTTCATCTAAGATGTAAAAGAAAAAACTTTAGGAAACAGGACATGCAGCATTCATCTAAGTGAAGTGACTAGTTTGGCAGAGGACTGCTGTCCATATTTTTAAATTGAAAAAATGGTAACATTAGAGACACCGGGAAGTTATCGGGGCCAGTCCCTGATTCTTCATTAACAAAGGGATCTTTCTAACTCTTCACACCTGATCACACAATGGCGTTGTTATTAGAAAGACTTCAGGGAACATCGTCAATGTATTTTCTCCTTCTACAAAAATCAGCCAGAGACAATCATCTGCTATAAAATTATCTGGATTTAATCGCTATCAACAGCAGAACCGTAGTACATTAAAGTACAAAACCTTTATGTACAATTACACATACAAAAATGTTCTTTGTGAGGAGTAATTTTCAGCAAATCTAACAAACAGCAAGAATCATTCCTATTTTGGGTTTGAAAGGAGAAATGGAAATTTCCAAGATATCTCCCTCCTCCGTTGGGGCCCTGGTGACCCTTGGAACACCAATTTGCAGAGGCCTGAGGTAGAAAGGCAGGTATTAACAATATCAGGTATTCATTCCTCCCCTCTTCTGGAAAGGATGAAGTTTTAAGAAACGTTTTCTGTCATTTATTATACTGATGTTCCATCCATCTGCATCATTAGGTTCAGTAGTTACCATGACAATATGATGCTTACAGCTATCTAACTTGATAGCCAGATGCCAGAATGTGAAAAAATAGGACCAGCTAAGAAATATAATTAATCTGAACCACACGGAAAATGTGTACAAAACCAGGACCAGGAGGAAAATTGCTGAAATGTCATTGAAGAGGGAAATCACTGAGAGGTAGCAATAATCAAATTGCAGTACGAAACCTTGCCAAGGAGAGCCGCGTATTGGTCTCTAAGCCAGTCCAAGGAAGGAGTCCAAAGAGTCTGCGATGTTGCTCTGGGCGCCTGACTGCAGAACCCTGTGGTGGCATCTTTGATTGTAGCCATGGGATTTTCAGGGCCACTGCTTTCCCAAGTTTCTCAGGCTTCCACCTCAAGTGTTGCCACCATGACATTCTACTGTAACCATTATACCCTGATCTTCCATCTGATGAGACAATTTCCATCATCCTAAAGATAAGCTGAAGACCGAACCATGCTGTATCTTGGGAAAGCCTGCCCATTGCCTTCCAGTGCCCCATGTGCAGCAGGTTAGCACAACCCTCAATGGCCTGAAAATGGTGAGGTGAGTGAAAACTGAGCAACAGAAAGTAACAAAACGTTGTGATCCTGGAAGACAAGCCTGGGACAGGTGGTCATTCTCAGCAGGGCTGGGTTGGGTAACGGCGCTGAGCCAGGCGGCTTCCCCGATTCAGGCTAGTAGCTGGAGAAAGCTAGAGAAGAAGAAGAAAGATTATACTAGATCACAGCCCCAAGCATGACTCCAGGAAAGGACGATGGGTTGGATTTCAGCTATAGGTGGCTTCCCAACATTGTATTCTGATGACCAACCTTCACCTCCGAAAGATGGTAAAGAGATGTTTGACTTTATAGAGAAAAGGCCAAACTGTATCAGCAAAGTCTGCTCCAATTCACTGAGGAGCAGACTTTGCCTGCTTTCAAAGTTTGCAGCAATTCCCTCACCCCAGGACAGAAGGAGGAGGCACCCACCCACACCACAATACCATCACTGTGTTTCTCATATCAAAGGACCAATTATGGATCAAGAGCAATATTTAGAGGTATGACACTTCTTGAACATTTTATATATATACTAAGATAGCTACCAATAGCCCCATTTTATAAATGCAAAAACTGAGACTTGGGTTACATAATTCCTAAGGAACTCACATTCAATGAATGGTGAACTGGGCCTATAAACCAGCCTCCTTAATCTTTAGCCTGACCTTCTAGTTCCTCCCTGTAAGGATGTCCTCACCTGAGGGACCTGAGATGGATTGTACAGAGGAACAGCCCCTTGCAAGGTGGGTGGGGGAGGCAGAACACCAGGCTTGGGGTACAACTCAGAAGACACACCCTGTGATGGAAAACAATAGAGAATATGATCAGTGGCCACTTCCTATTACAAGTTCTCTGAGCATCAATTTCAGTCAACAGAAGGATTTCTAAACTCAGAAAATCACCAGTTAAAAACATGGCTCAGGTGGGTACAACCAATGCTAACTGGGATGACAGTGCAGAGGCAGGTGCTCTCACACCCAAAGCAAGTGGAAAGAAAAAAACCACAATAAGTTATACTAGGACATCATGAAAGGTACTATCACATTCTTCAGAAAGCCCAAAATACTATATAAGTACTCCAGCCAGACTTCAAGAAATAAAAATATTTTCTTAGCAATAAGCATGAAATTCCTAGTAATGTAGACAATTTGTGAAGAATTTATTATAACCCCAGCCAAGGACACACTAGTGAACTCTAGCTCCCACTAAGATAGTCATCTGCCTAAGCTATACAGGCCAAAAAGTGTGTCCCTCCAAAAATTCATAGAATGAAGCCTCAGTAGCTCAGCATGTGACTGTATTGGGAGACAGGATCCTTAAAGAGACAATATAGGTACCTCACCCAAAATGAATGATGTGCTTATAAAAGGAGGAAAGTTAACACAATATATACAGAGGCAAGACCCAGTGAAGGCACAGGAGGAAAACGACCATCTGTAAACCAAAGAGAAGCCAGACTGGCCAGCACCTGAACCATGCACTTCTACTCCCCAGATCTGTGAGAAACTGCCCTCCCATTATTGAGGCCCTAAAGACAGAGGTACTATGTTCCAGCAGCTCAAGCAAAGTTATGCCAAAGTTTTCCACACATTCTGTAAATATCCTGTGAGTCACCCCTCCCAGGGCTGCTCCTCCAGGCCACTGTGGACATTCAATCTTCACACACAGGGATCCACTTGAGTCCCAAACCCAACCCATAGCATGCTCACTTCTGGCCCTGAGAACCCTCTGACCCCAGTGCCTTCAGCTATTCCACCACTGTTTGGGGCTCCTCGGAGATCACCGCCACCTAGAAGGTAAGGAGTCAAAAGCTGTTTCACATGTTCAGAACTGAGGAGTCCCTAACCCCAAGAAGATACCCCAACTCTAAGAGCAACAACAGCACTAAAGATGACACAGAAGACCAGGGGCTGGCAGTACCTGTGCCCCTGGAGAAGGCGCTGGCACCAGATAGAGTTAGGGACTCAAGAGGAGGTGTTGATGAGAGGCCCAGGCCAGCATGGTGAGGAGATGATGCTCTGGGGGACTCCTGCTTGGTGGACAAAGATGCAATGTGGGTGACATCAGTGGTTAACAAATTCATGCCAACTACATGTATTTTGGTATTTACAATGGTGTTTCTCTACCCTGGCAACCTACCACTGGGAATTCTCCTCAAAACACCACTTTCCTCCTGTCTGACCTGTCCTAAGAATGCAGATCAGCTCCCTGTTATTGGGCCTCTTAAGTGAAATGCTTTCTTCTCTCTCTCTCAGTTTTTGTTTTTGTTTTCCCCTTAGGCAGGCCTGGCACTCATCGCGATCTTCCTGCCTCAGTATTCCAGGTATGAACCATCATTCCTGGCTACTAAGTCCTTTCTGCCAACACAAAGCCTCTATTTCATCCCCCCTCCATGGAAGGAGCTGCTGGCCCTCTGTGAAGATTACCTCTGAGTCAGAACTGTCTGAGGAGTCTTCATCTCCTGAGGGGGACACACTGTTGGCGGGCTTGGACCGAAACCAGCTGAACCAGCCAAATCCAGAGCTCTGAAGAGAAGGGGGAATTATTAAGGCCTATGGACTTGTTTCTCTCACCATCTGTGAGAGTTGCCTGCCTGGTATGAGATGAGGGTGGTGGGGTGAGGGCTCCCAACTCTGGGGTCTGGAAGGGGGACAGAAGAGGAAGGAAGCACGGGAAGAGAAGAACAAGTCTTCCACCTTTGCAGTCTCTTTCTCATCTCCTGGCTTTTCTCTCTGTGAGGCATCTTGGTAAGATTTTTTGTCTGCTTCATCAGAGGACTCCTCCTCATCCTCCTTGACTGAAACCTGGGGACTTTCAGAAAACGTTTGAGCTGTAGGAGGCAGCGGTGCCTGGAATAAAATAAAAACCACGAACATTCACATAGCATTCAGCAGCTTACAGAGCCCGTTTCCATATGGCTTCTACCTGAGCCCTCCAAACCCCGGCCTTAGGAACTTTCATCCTACTGTGGAGGGAGATGGGCTTAGGCATGAAAATGTCTGGCCATAGGTCTGGGAACAACCCAAAACCAAGCCCAATCTTCATCTCTTCCCAAACCTTAAGAGTTTGTCATGTAACCTTTCCAGATCACAGTCTCCAAGACTGGGCTAAGACTGGGTACATAGAAGCAGGGTTCATGGACGCTACTGCCGGTGATAAAAAGCGAGGCCTGGAAGCACCCTTCAGAGATCCCCAATTCCAAAACAAGAAAATGCAGCAGAGTGACAAACTCTCTCGAGGGTATCTGTGAACATGTGCACAGGAAGGGAGCAAAATATGCCCACACCTCTTCCTATTTTCTTTATTATGGTAAAATATGCACCACATAGAGCTCATGAACCACTTATAAGTGCACAGCTTGGTGACATTAAGTATATCCACAATGTTATCCAGCCATCAGTAGTACCCATCTCCAGTACTTCTTACGTCCCATCAGAAAATCTGTACCATTAACTCCCTACTCCCCAGCCCCAGCCCCTGGTCACCTCTACCCCATTCTATTCTGTCTCTTTGACAGAATAAACTATGGAATCCCATATAAATGGAATCATGCAACATATTGCCCTTCATATTATATTTGCATTTTGTACTTTCAATAACACATAATTAGTAAAAACTTTGAAAAATGTTTTGGCAAAATACAGAAAAGGCTTTTTTTTTTATGAGAATAGTATGAGGTACCAGGCACTGCTCTAAGTACTTTACATACAGTGATCCAGTAAATCCTTACAACAGTCCAGTGAGGTAGGTACTATTATCATCTAGTTTTAAATACAAAAACCAAGCACAAAGCCACACAGATAGCAAATAGCAAGGAAAACATTCTAACCTAGGTATTCTGGTTTGCTTCTAAGACCTATACCAATAAGTCAAGACATGGACAAGAACTTGCATGCTAGATGACCTCCATATGTGTCATGTATGAGTGAAAGAAAGGATGAAAGGAGAAACAGAGGGAGGTCGGAAGCCAGGCATGATGGCACACTTGGGAGGTGGAGGCAGGCAGATCTTTGTGAGTTCAAGGCCAGCCTGGTCTATATAGTGAGTTCCAGGTTAGCTGGAGCTACAGCAAGACCCTGTCTCAAGAAGACCAAAAAAAAAAAGGAAAGTTGGGAAGCAGAAAAGTCCTGTTTCTCAGTGTTCTCCCCATGTGCCCAACTGTCTAGCACAGAGATCCCTTGCTCTTCCTTCATTAAGCCAAGTGCCTCCACTTAGGGCCTCTGTTCCTATTGCTCCTTCCACAGTGAACACTTGTTCCCTAGGTAGTCACCTGGCTCATTTCCACATTGTACTCTAATCTCTACTCAAAGGCTTCCTTAGCAGCATAGTCCTTAGCCATCCTCTCTACCCTGTGCAGAGAGTTGTTCATTTCTAGTCACCTCCACCAGACGGCACTGCGTGAAGATGTCTATATCTGTTCACTGGTGCATGCCCAGGCCCATCACCAAGTCTGGTACATTGTAGAACTCATCCGTAAGTTGTGAGTGAATGGTAGTACTTTCACCCAATGAATTTTTTAAACCAATTTTTTTAAGTTATACTTACTAATGAAAGAAAAATCTTATTATACAGCATTAAATAACAAATAGGAAGTATATCTGTGTTGACTATTGAAAACATGTACATGTATGTATATATATACATATTTCTATACATATAGGCATGTGTACATATGAAAAAAATACTTGAAGAAACTACATGATGTAATCATTCAGCCAAAGCAAAGCTCAAAGCTGCAGAACACCCGGTTTGGCATCAAATCTGACCACTGTGGAGGAAAGCGGTACAGTCCACCAAGACTTGGGTGGAATGACTGGACAGCTAGGAGAAAAGCCGAGAGGGCGGACATAAGCAGACACTCACAGGCCTACCATAGAGCCTTCTTTGACATAAAGCAAGGCAAACAGTAAAATCAACACCAACGGTCTTCCTCAACATGGAAGAAGAGGTTGCAGAGGGACCAAGATCCATCCTTGAAATAAAACTAAACTAGCTCAGTTCCTCCATCCCCCGAGGACACAGGTAGATGAGACTGAGCATAATCAAAAACACAGTCTCCTTCCCAACCCCCCAGGTTCCATATGGAAAGAAACAAGGACTGGCTTGCAGGAGGTAGAGGAAGAACTCCCAGTGCTAGAGAGGAGCCTGTTGTACCTGAGAAACCCAGGGCAAGAGGCAAAGAGAGGCATCAAAGAGGACCCCAGCATCCCTCCTGCCTTTTCTCCTCACCTGAGGCTTGGAAATGACTTCTAGACCATCAGGATACTGGGGATCTTCTTGAGATGTTGTGCCCTCTCCTGTAGTACCAAAGGAAAACAAAGCCAGTCATCTGAATTTGTGCTCTTCCCACCCATCCTAAAAAAGGTAGCAGGACCAGGCGCTGATACCATAAGCGGGTCATAGCAAATACAAAGTCCACCTGTTTGACTCCACTCAGCTCAAGCTACCCAGGACACACTGACCAACATGACTCTAACCCCAGAATGCCAATGTCAGTCCTTAGGATTGTGAGGAAATCACAGCAGACTGGAAATAGATCACAGGGATCCTCCCTTCCATGTGAGTCTCCTTGGCCAGGGCCTTATCTTAAAGGACCAAGCTTTAATCTTCCTATGTGGTTCCCAGCACCCCCCTGGCATCACTCAGCACTGCTCCCCCACATTCAGCCTCTGCTGTTCAAGGTCTTATGGGCCTGAAGAAATATAGAACCAGGACTCAAACACAGCCCGAGCCTCAGGCCCTAACAGTAAACTCTTGGGCTTTTGAGTACAGGATGACTTCAGAATGAAGCCCCTTGACCAATGTGCATATGAGGTATAGGTGGCATTTCATCATTCTGCTTTGCAGTCTCTCCATTTCAAACTACATATTCCAAGGAGTGTACAGAGTAGTTATGTCTGTCCTGCCCTGCTTGTCCCAGTAGAGAAGTAGATGGGCTGGCACAGAGCACACGCCTTCAGGTTTATGCTAAGCTCTAGTTCACAGGCTAAGAGCAGGCCAGGGCACACTCTCCATCCATACCTTTACCAGTCCCAACCCACTTCTTCCAAGTGGTACCTCCCTCACCTACTTCCTTACTATCAAGACCCCACCCCCAAGGTGTCCAGCTTGGATGACAGCTCTTACCAAGGGCAGGATGTATCTGCGGCATATCCCTTTCTCCAGGAGCCCCTGTCACTGTCACACCACTGTTGCTGCTGCTGTTGCTGCCACCACTGGTCAGTGGCAGGTGGGTGGCAGGAACTGAGTAAAGGGGCACTGGGACCCCCATATGCCCTGCACCTCCTCCCTCTGAGTAGGGTCCCTGCTGCAGAGGAAAAGGCTGATGTGGGCTGGGCTGGCTCAGGCCTGTAGGCGCAGGTGTTGGCCACAGGGCTGCATGGTACCCAGGGTCTTCTGAGTAGCCTTGATATCCGGAAAGTTCCTGATAGAAAGTGTCTATGGAGAAAGATGTGAGACTTGAAATGTGGCATTTGCAGACTAATCACACCAGAAATACCCCGCTCTTATCCTCTTGGGAAATCAGTCATGTGAACTGGCTGCTTGTGGCTTCTTTTAGCATAATGAAAAGCAAAGCAGAATAATTGTAACACTCCTCACTGCTGTCTTCAGAATTATTCCCTTACTTCTTGGATGTTCTCTGAGCCCTTAACCAATGGGTTGAGAGGGAAGAAATGAATCCCATAGAACTCCACACGTTTTTAATATTTGGATAAACCCTTTCTCCTTTAAGGAGTTCTCACTAGTCTTGAGTGTTCAAAATGTAAAAGGTTTAAGTTAAAAACACAGCTCACATCTTAGAAACAATGGCTTTACATTTGAAGAATCTGGGTCTGTTTGCCCTGGAAAGGACTTTGCTGATAAGATCAGCTATAAATGTGGATGTGTGAAATGATCAGCCTAAGGACACAGGACTGGTATGGGCTGCCAGCCAGGTGCTCTGGGGCTACAGCAGCCAGGGCCACAATGAAGCTGTCATACAGAGACACCCAACTAGGATTCACAAATCCAAGAAACAGAAGTCAAGATCTCCCTTGCTCCCCTGCCCTTCACCCATCCCTGAAGGAAGTGCGAAAGGCTGGAAGGCAAGAAACAAGAGCCCTTGCCTGACCCCAAAAGAGGGAATTTCAGAGAAGGTATAGAATTAACTAGGGGTATAATACTTGCTGACCAACGACTCAGAGGCATCCTGAGGGAGGTGTTAGGAGGCTGATAAAACACTTTGAAACTTATTTCAATTATATGACAATGGATAGTTCAAAAATCATCAGTTTCCAGTGTCTAAACCAGTAACATAAAATACCAATAATCTGCGCTCTCTGGCCTCAAGAAACATATCCAGCTAGGAGCAAAGTATTAACAGAAGTGGGTAGTACAGCACAAGAAATATTCAGGTATTCGAAAACCTAGCCTGTAAAGCAGAGACTCTCATCCTACAGGAATTTAAAAGTATCCAGGGTGTGTGAGACCAGCAGGGGCATATGAAAGAGGTGACTTAGATCCATGGGTCCATTTTCAGACAAGGAAGGTACCAAGGGAGGGAAAGGGTAAGTGTGTTCAAAATTAGTCTATCTCTTCTAGTCAGATCATATACCAGGTACCTGTTGTTCCTCTGGCTCCAGAAATAGCAGAGCAAGCAGAATCAGGATCCCCAAGATCGCCTGCTCTCTTTTTCTGTTTAAAATAAAATGAAACCCTTTAAAATAGAATAAGGAAAAATAAGGACAGAGGACAAAGGTAGTTGAAAACCCAAGCCAGTAAGAAACATCCAGTGGGAATGACCAGGAAGAGGAGCCTCAACTGAATGCCAGTGCCAAGGCCACATGGATAGCACCTTACTTCCAAGTCTCCCAGTTCTGCTCAGAGCAGGCAAGGATGGATACAGCCAGTACTATCCCTCCTCCAGAACAGGGGCCAATGGAAGTAACTAAACTAGGCCTTGGAGTTTGCGGCCAAGGGAGGGAGAAAGGCAGTGTGCGTTTTAAAACCCACTTTGTCCTTTCTTCAGAGCAGAGTGGAAGAAAGAACAAGGGGGAGCCCCTGCTCCAATTACTCTTCTGATTATGGCCAGTCGCTTTTGCAATTGTCAGATCAAAAAGGAAAGGCCCGGAAGTCTTTTAAGCAATTGCCCTACATTTCATGAAAGTGACACAGGTCCACTGTGAACCATTGTTCCTAACAGAGATTGGGGAAGCTTTGATGGTCATGAAAAATTCTCCCAGACCTCAGAGAAGGGTGGCAAGAGTAGTCAGGAGAGCGCCCCCCCCATGTCACTTGCAAACACAGGAAAATGTTTGCATGTGAGAAAAAAGCAATGACCAGGATGCTCTGAATCCTGCCCTACAGGGACACAGGCTTACCTCCAAAGTGATAGCTCTCCAGGGCAGGAAACTGGACCTTTGCTATGCCTGCCCTGTGTCTGGGAGTGAAAGGGAAACACGGGGCACCCATTACCCCTACTCACCTCCAGCTCCTTGTGCAGTCTCCGCAGTTGCATGAGCCAATCCGGTTCCAGGTCCTTGTCCCCTCGGCGTCTTTCTAAAACCAGAGGATCTGACAGCTTCAGTTTCTCTGCAAGCTGAGTCAGGTTTCCAGGCAGGTCAGGGGAAGAAAGTAAGAGGACAAGAGAGAAATAGGATAGGGTGCGTGGAAAGACAGAAGAGAGGGAGCGGCAAGAAGAAAGGAGAGTCATAATTCACTTACACCTCAGATTACAAAGAATAATTGAGAAATAACAAATTCAGCACATCTACTCCCAAAATTGCAGCATAAATAAATCATCAGCCCATTTGGGTATTAGATATTGGACAAAATATGAAAAGCAACAGCTCTTGCAGCTTTGTGGCTCTGAAAAGCTGTCTTCTTTGCAAGAGGCTTCTAGAAACATAGGGACCTTGTTAATGCTAATCTAATTCCGTGGTCTGGGTGGAAGCTGAGATCTGCATTTGTAACAAGCCAGTGCTACTTTCTGCTTCAAGGCTTCACTCTGTTCTGTATCTAGAAACTTCTCTAATCACATATCCTGGGCCCTCAGCTCCCTGTAGCCCTCAACCCACCAGCAGAAATACCAGAGTACCATGGCTCAGCACTACAAACAAAGTTTGGTTACAGAAGCCAACACTTGGGTCTCGTCTAAAGCAACACAAAAACTGAAGGGCATCACTGCCTTTTACTCTCAAGCTAATGGATTTTTTTTTCTTCAATTAATTAGAACAACTATTTGCCTGATTGTTGTTTTCTTCCCTGGGAACTAAGGATTGGTATGTTTCTGTTTTCTTTCTAAAATGTGTCCCACATGTGATAAAATATTCCATGCATTTAAAAGCATTTTAATAAGGATCATTTCCTGTTTTAATCACTAAAATATATTTTCAAAGGCCAGCTTTTGTAATTAGAACAGCTCACCATAGCACGAAGTTTTACTGTACTAGGCAGAGAAGACACACAGAGGAACTTCTCAAGCAGCATACACCTGCTTTCCAGTCTCCCCACCGCCCCACCACCCCCTGCCCAGCGAGTCCTCCTTTGAGCATGCCGGGCCTCTCCTTATCACATCCGGGCATGCATATGTGGGCAAAGACGGCCAAGGGCTCCAATTTTGCAGCACGTTCAAAGAAGATGAAATGTGGAGCCTAAGCTGCTCGACAATGGCTTCTCTGAACACTGGAGATAAAACATGGGCAGTGACTCCTTTGAGACGCTCACCTTGATGAGCTCCATTAATAGCACAGGGTGACTGCTCTCTCCCTGGCTAAGGACAGCTGCAGCAATGGCTTCACAGTAATGCAAGGCCTGGGGTGCCAGGCCGTAATCTGCCAGACGGGCAGCATAAAGGAGCTTATACACCTGTGAAAAGGAACACGGTCAGTGATGAGTCCATCCAGGCAAGAGCAGGAGAGAGAAATGTAGATAAGACTTCTTAGAAGTCAGCTGACTGACTCTGGCATCCAAATATCAAGGGCCCCGTGCCATTTGGGGCAATTTATCTGTGTATGGGCACAACTCCAAATCTAGACTGCAGCTTCTACATTAAGAGGAAAAGGATGGGATCACATCAGCCCATCTTCCCAGGCCCTGGTCACCATGGAAGATGGCCCTTTTATCCAAAGCCCATGTCCCAAAGAGCCTGAACATGTGAAGTGTAGCCCTAGGGCCCAGATAAAAATGCAGAACTAGACCATGGTGCAAAGACTGTGAAGCCCAAAGGAGAATATGGACAGATACAGGGGGGCTCTCACTGAAGCAGGAGAGACAGGGCAAGATCAAGTGTTATGACTCTGGTGTGAGACAGACCCATTCCAATCCAAGTTCATGCTAAGTATGGGAAATTGGGCTGGTTCCTTCGCCTCTCTGTGCCTCAGTTTCCCCACTACAGCATGGAGAGGACAATACCTCCTACTCCCTTGGCTGCTGTGAAGATGAAATGAGATAGCCCACACAAAGTACTCAGAACAGATGGTGTGCAGAAGTATAACCCCTCCGAGCTTCAGGTTCCTCTTTTGTAAAAGGGGGAAGAGTAATCATGCCTACCTCACAGGATTAGAATAATAGTCAAGAAGCAAAACAGTATGTGGCTGAGCATGTGGAACACAGTCAATAAGAACAGCTGACTTCATGACAATTTGTCCAAAGCAGTACCAGAATAGCTGGCAGGTGGACTGCATTAGGAGGAAGAGAAAAGACAAAAGACCAGAGTGCCTGTGGAGGAGCTTTGAGGAGGCACTGTTAGGCAGGGTAAAACTCTCAAAGATGAGACGATATCAAATGGGTCATTTCTTTACACTACAATGGTTCATTCCCAAGGTTGTGTTTGCTTTGTGCTCGTGTGTGTGTGTGTGTGTGTGTGTGTGTGTGTGTGTTGTTATTGTACCTGTGTTCATTCTCAATACAGGCACTGAAGGACATACAGGTTAGAAAAAGTCTCAGCCCTGAAGATGATAATTGAGGCAGAGAAGAAAGGTGCCTGCCTGCCCATTAAAGGAAAAATATAGAAAATGCAGGGCAGTAAATGTGAGATGGGGACCCTGAAGCCAGCACTGTGGCTGAGATAGTCCCAACAGAGCAGTCACTCTTTCCGAACACTTCTCCAGTGAGCTACAGAAACAACTAACGCACTCTTAGGCCAGTTCCACTGCACAGGCTCCACTGTCACACCAATTTCACAGCCCAGATTATTGAGGGCCACCATTGTCACAGCAGTTAGTGAGAGGAGAGGGGGCTTCCTGGAGCTGGGTCTCAGAGCACATGGACAGGAGGAGGGTGCAATGCCAACATCAGTCATTATGGGTGTAAAATGGCAACCAAATCCCCAATAGAAAAGCTGAGAAAGGAGAGAGAGAGAGAGAGAAAGAGAGAGAGAGAGAGCTAGAGAGAGAGAATTTGCACAGCTGAAGCCCCAAGAGGGAAGTGAGCTGGAGGGCCAAGGGTAGAGAGTAGAAAGGAAGGTCTGGGGAAGGAGGAATGATCAGAAGGAGGGTGGTAGTCTGAGCAGCCCCTGGGGCAGGATGATTGTAGAGGCTGAGAAGGAGCTAGGAGGAGTGCTGAGAGAGAAGAGCCAAGGGCAAAAATAAAGCGAGCTCAGAACTGAAGCACCGTTTCCATGCACTGGGAGTGGGGCAAGAGCCTTCAGCAGAAACCTCTGAAAGGCTCTGCTTTCATACTGTAAAATACAGATCTCCAGGGAACTGGAAAAGTTATACTGTTCTCTCTCTCTCTCTCTCTCTCTCTCTCTCTCTCTCTCTCTCTCTCAAATGCAGATGAGCTGGCCTGAGGTACCAGGTACCAAACAAGGTTGAGAATATGGCTGCCCACAGCCTTCCAACACAATGAAGCTGATGCCCCCCTCTGGGTTGTTACCTGGAAAGAAATGATAAAGGACTTAGGGCGGCCCAGCATCTGGCAGTATTCGAAGATTTCCGTCCTCTGAATAGCCTCAGTTGTTGCAAATTTCAAAAACTCTTGACTAAAACCAGAAACAACAACAGAGTTGAGGTGAGGTCTGTCCCTCTGAGGAGGTAGTCACACACCATTTGTCCTCTGGGGCTGCATTCAGCAGCTCCAAGAGTGGAAAGAGGCTGTGGGCCCAGAGCAGATGCGCTGCCTCCTGACCCTCTGAATGAACTCTGTGCCAGAGGCTCTTAGGAGAAAAGTCTGCCCACTGCCAGGAGGTCCTGTGCCTTCCTTACTAAATCTAGGCACTAAACCCTATCCACCAACATCCTGAAAGCCAACCTTTGGCCTTAGAGGCTGGTATACTCCCAGGAAAAGTAGCCCAGTTTGAGCACACTAGCACCAAAGAGGAAGCCATGGGGCCCTCCAGGAGCCCTACAGAAGGCCTAGCAGAGACTGGGGAGGACAGCTGAGCTAGAAAAAAAAAAAAAAAAATGACAAGCCTTGCACAAGAATTTAATTCAGCCAATGAGGAAGAAGACTAGATAATTGTGATCTAAGGGACCACAAGAGTCCCTTATTCCCTCAAGTCTCCTCTCAACAGTTTACCAGGGGTTCAAGATCACAATCCCCACGGATATTCCCAGAAGTTAATGCATGATCTCCAGAAACTTCCTCAGAAATCATAAGAGTGGAGACATATTAACCCAAACACCATATGGTCACATTTGGCCCAGATGGTCTTTCGTGAGAAGCTAACCATGCTCTCTGAGCCCAGGGTCTTGAGAGAATGGTCAATGAGGCAGGTAAGTTGCTACAGCGGTTGTCAGCTGGGGACATCAGTTACAAGTCTGAGTTCTGTAGCCTGACTGCCTGGACTCCGAGTTTTTATCGTTCTGTACCTTGGTTTCTCTCCTGCATAAGTGAAGATCAAAAATACACTTTTTTCATAAGGTAAATCCATAACAAAGGAAACAGTACAAAGAAAATGGCCAGTGCCAAGCTTCAGAAAGCCTTTTCTTTCTCTTTTTGAGACAAGTCTGTGTAGTGCTGGCTGGCTTACTGGCCTAGACCTTGCTGAGTAAACCAGGCTAGCCTTGGACTTGCTACAATCCTCCCACCGATGCCTCTTGAGTGATGGAATTGTACAACACCGTGCACTGCTCAGAAGTCTGTTATGGGGTGCTGGTAGAGAGACCCAGAACAGAGAAGAGACCTCGGGAGCAAGTTTGTCTGTCAGCCAGTTTATTCATTCCCCAAGGCTTACTGAGGTTGTTCAGCACAAAAATCCTGATAGTAGCTAGCAGAAAGTAAGTGGCCAGGCTCTAAGGGTTTGTGTACCGCGTTCTTTAGTTGCAGTAGTTCTGGCCCCAAATCAGAGACTAAATATAAACTGCTCCACTGTCCAGTTCTGAGATGGCTCCCAGAACATGGCCAGAGATACCTAAGTCCAGAGAGGGAGAAAAACTTTTCTAACTTTCTCCTTTTCCTTCTTTTTTTTTTAACTCTCTGGTTGTGGAGCTAGGCTGCCACCTAGTGGTCATAGTAGTACACTACATCCAAAAAGCATCAGTTCAGGCCCTCTGGTGGTGTGACCAGGCACCTTCTGTGGTCGGTCATCTTGCCTAAGTCTATGCAGAAATGCAGAGGAGGGTCTAGCATTAGTTAAAATTTTCACAAGAAAATGAAAACTGAAGCCATGAAACCCAGTGAGGGCTAAAATAATCCCACAGAAAACATCTCTGTTATTTCTTTTTCCTGGAACCATCACATACCTGTGGCTACTGCCCAGCAAGGCTAGATGGTCTGTCTTCACGGTGTAGTGGCCAAAGGACACATGAGCCATGAGATAGCAGAAGTGAGCTGCCTCTATGAGCCCTTTCCCAGCTGCAGAAGAAGAACAAGACCCCAGTCATGGAACACACCATGTGGGGCCTACCATCTAGGTGGGACTAAGAGAGACAGAAGAATAGACTCCAGGATAAGAGGGCAGACACTTCATGTAAGTAAATCACTGGCGTTCTCATAGTACAAATCACAGACATGCCCCAACTCCCTCATTCCAAGACCAGCTTTTTAACTTCAGATATTACATTTCAATTCTCATCAGTCACAATAAGGTGCTATTTCACACATACACACACACACACACACACACACTGGGTTTTTTATTGGGAATTTAAACATCATAGTCTTTCCTGAGGATTGGAATTGAGAAGAGATGCCTACACCTCAGTAAAGCAGAGCATTAGACCCCTTGGCTGTTTTTAACTCTATCTTCTTGGGATATGGTTGCTTCCCCTGCTAAAGTCAGATAGCAGATGGCTCTTCCGCTTGCTCATAAAAATCACATCAATTACCAAATTGGTCCCAATTTTTAAATGTTCTCTATATATTTTCTACTGCCTCAAAATTGAATTAACTTAAGTAGGTGTGATAATTCATCTTCATTGTCACCTTGAATGGAATAGGAATTGCCCAGGAGATACACCCTCTAGGTGTGGCTGTGAAAGCGTTGCTAGAGGGGTTTAATGAGCAAGGAAGACCTACCCCAAGTATAGGAGGTACTATCCCATGATGTGGGGTCTGGGACTGAATAAAAATGGGGTAAGGAGGAAGCAAACCAAGCCTCCATCATTCATCTCTCTGCTTCCTGACAGTGGACACAATGCGACCAGCCACATCATACTCCCGCCACCATGCCTTCCCAACCATGACAAACTACATCCCCTACAACTGTGACCCAGGACAAACCCTTCCTTCATGTTTTTGTCAGCTATTTAGTCACAGCAATGAGAAACTACCAAATAGAGTACATAAGGTACCAACACACTACCTGACACCTAACAAACCTGGGTTCCTTTTTGTCCAAGAAGCCTACCACTTGTTACACTCTATACATGGCTGCTTCAAGTTTAACAGAGGAATTGTCCACCAAGTTCTAGATCAACATTAGTTATACCCCTTAATTAAATTTAAGAACTAGTGATCTAGAATTTCCAACTACCACTAAGTGATATAAGGTCATGTTCATCAACAGAGGATAGAAATAAAGACCAGAGCATTACTCAAGGTAGTTCAAGTTAAAAACATTTCCCATCTGATCAAAGTGGACCACTGAAGAATAAATGGCAAGAGGAGGTGACACGACCCTGGTGTTAGCTCTAGATGAAAAAAAAACGAGTTGCTGAAAGGAGGCTGCACAGCAGTGAAAAAGCAAAGTTTACAGAGGGAATTCTGGGAAACAGAGATATTCAAAGGATGTGTCTTTCCCTGGAATTTCTTAACCCAAAAAAACACAGAACACCCTGGGTCTAGAAAAACCTGCGCCACGGACTCTGGCTTTCCACAGAAGACTCTAAGGACAGGCATTTAAAGTTGGCCTGGGATGCTCTAGAGGAGGGAGACAATGCTTGTTTCTGCTTACCCAGGGTGTCCCCCATGCTGACAATTGCACGCTGATACAGGTCTGCGTCTCCAGCCTGATTTGACAGAATCACAGCCAAGTGGGGCCTCCAGTCTCCCCATTGCTTGTCTCCACAACACTGAAAAATAATGAAGATTTACAGAATCCTTTAATACTGCCCAGGATGTAAGTAAAGAAGGCTGTTATTTTCCAGTGTGGAATACAGAGGATGTCTACTTTTTCTTTTGGAGGCAGGGTCTCCCTGTAGCTCCAGCTACCCTAGAACTCTCTATGGAGACCAGGCTGGCTTCAGTCTCACAGAGATTCACCTGCTTCTGCCTCGCAAGTGCTGGGACTAAAGATGTAAGTACCACCACACCTGGCTGCATTCACTTTAAAAAGTATTTGGGAGCTTGTATCTAATCCTTAAAAGATTTTAGGCTTACCTCTTCAGAGGGGGAAATTTTAGGGTAGCCAAAAGTGTCATAAAAATAAATCAAAGAAGAAAAAAAAAAGGTGGGGACAGGTTGGTGCTCCAGAACAGATGTGGTAGCTCAGCACTCAGGAGACTAAGACAAGGACATGATGAGTTTGAGACCTGCCTGGACCACATCATGAGACCCTGCCTCAAAGTGAAAATAAAAAGAGGATAGACATATACATTCATGCACACATCTATAAAAGTTATAAAGCTACTGGGAAATAAGTAAAATGATATTATTAACTTACTAATTTTCAAATTTTTTCCCAGTGCCTTCACTCTAGTGACAACCTCCCTCCTCTCCACCCTCAAAAGAATCTGCCTCTGGAGTCTCAGCGAGAGGAGGAAGAAGGAAGATTGATTACCCCGTCTCATGAGTAGAAAAGACCATGATAGCCTGGCATATAAGTCAGGGGACTCCATGTGCCTTAATGTCTTATCGAATGGCTAGTGTTTTCTGGTTTTACAAAGCACTTTACAGATGGCAATCTCCATAACACTGCTGTGAGGTATACTTCCTACTACCACTTTAAGAAGGAGAAAAATCAAGCCAGCCTTCAATCTCCAGTCATTTCTTTTTTGAACCCTATGCCCTGATGACAATGCATAGGCCACAGACTCCACCAGAGGGCAGGAGAGAGTCAGCAATGCCTTGGAACTGTGAGGCAGCCCTGCGCAAACGGTGCTTTCCTTGTGAACTCATCCTAGCTCTTCTCAGTGAAGAACTTTAGGGAAGAACGTATCAACAAAGAAGCAACGTAATGTGATAGACTCTACACAGGCCCTGGATTCAACTCAAGCCCTGCCTCATACTAGTTGTTTGACCTTGAGCAGATATTTTAATGTTATTGAATCTTATCTTTAAAATAATTTCTACCTAACAGGATTATTGTTGATAATAAGATAGTTAAATAACTCACAGAGCACAGTGCTTCATGCTTAGTTTGCACTTTACAAATTCCATAATGGCCATGAATACACATGCACATACATGCACACAAACACATACATATGTAAGCTCAGCAGAGGAAAGAATTGGTTTTCAGATCAGTCTATATCAGTCTTATTGCGTAGACCTGTAGAGGAGATTGATAGTAATTGCTAACACTTTTAGAGTTCAAAACCATTCATAATTACTTAGTGTATGTAATCATTACGAGAAATAAAAGGTGCATCATCCAGGTCCATGTGATACTTGCTCCATATTTCTCTAGACAGTGAAGCATAAATGCATATGATAATGGTGGTCATAATAAATCATATAGTAATAGTTTTCAGTTATTGCCATGGCTCAGACCATGAACCACACCCTGGGCTAAGCACTTCTCCTGTCATCAACCACATGTACCAAGAACTCTTCCTCTCTCACTTGAGCACTTAAACCAAGCCTCTTCTTGCTGGGTCTTTAAGAGGGAGACAGAAGAGAAATCATTTCTAAAAGAGAAAATCATCTTGGAAGTCATTCTTCTGTCTCCTCCCTGGATAATGGGAGTGGGCAGCGTAAAGTACATTTATTGGGGTGGGGAGAGGAGAGGGGAGGGGAGGAGAGGGGAGGAGAGAGGAGAGGAAAGGAGAGGAGAGGACATTCATTGACTAATTTCCATGGGCTAAGCATGCAAGCGTGATAGCTGACAGGTTCAAACAAGTTCACTCCTTTTATTTTCACAATAATTCTAGTGATTGGCCACCAAAATCTCCACAAAGATGAAAAGCTGAGGCTCTGTGCGATTAAATAGCAGAGCCAAGTTTGAATAGCAGTAATGAGCAAAATCAAACTTAAACCTAGGATGAAAACCCATGCTCTTTCTACTACACCACTCATCATATGTTACTGAAGTATAGCCTTTATTAGATGTTAGGGGCTACAAAGATCCCACACTCTGAGATCAAATACTGCACTGGCACATCACCTATGGGGCCTTGGCTTTCTTATCCACAAGCAGGGAAAATGAGTTAACGCTGTCTCATCAGTGAGGTCCAATGGACCACAGGCTGATTGCGTCATTTTCTCCATTAGGTGCTTCATGACATGATGCAATTTTATGGCAGAGCTGGAGTTTCCATTCAGCTGAATTGTGAAGCATACTTTGTGTTCCAAAATTGGTTTAAAGAGGAGGGAAAGAAAGCAGAATTTCTCTTTTCTTGGAATTTTCTACAGCAATAAGAAGGTCAAGAAAGGGAAAAAAATTTGTAAAATTCATTTTTATTAAAACTAGTTGCTAGCAGAACTTCAAGCTTCAAAATATAAGCAAGGGCTGCCAAAAATAATGGAGATGTATTCAGCAAGACCAGAGGGAGGGGATGAAATAATACTCCTATGAAGCAAGAACATAAAACTAATGTAAAGGAGTTCAGGAAAGAGATGGTGACAAATAGGAAGAGACAAATGTGACCTGCAGAGCTCAGGAAAGGAATGGGGCAAATATCAAAGAAAGAAAGACAAAATTGGAAGGGCACAAGACACAGAGTCACAGGGAAAACACAGTGAGGACCAGGATAGAAATAAAAACAAAAGGGAAGAAGCAAAGGAGGGAGGAAAATAAAGAAGTAAAATACTTCAATTTAATGAGAAAAGTAACAATCAGATATGGTGGCACAAACTTGTAATTCCAGCCCTTGGGAGATGGAGGCAAGAGGATCATGAGTTCAAGATCATCCTTGGCCATACACTGAGTGAGGTTGAAGCCAGTAAGAACTCTGAGTCCCTATCTAAAAAAAAAATCAGAGAGAAAAATACATATATGTATAATTCACATATATAGCTTTTTATATATGAACTATGTATACACGTGATTCCTGAAAACAAAAACAAAATAAATATTGAAATAAATAATTCAAAAAAGTTCCTGAAGTGTTAAGGTATGAATATTCATATTTAAAGGACATGTCATGATATACTACCAGGAAAAAAAAAACTGACCAATCAACACTAAGGTATATACAGATATATACTAGTAAAGTTATTAGATAAGAAAAGAATACTTTGTGGCAAAAAGATTAGGTCTATGGTAATGTTTTTAAAAATATTTTATTTATTATTTTTATTTTATCTTATGTGTATGAGCATATTGCCTGCATATACGTAAGTGTACCCATGCCATGCAATGCCTCAGAAGAGGGTTTTAGATCCCCTGGAACTGGAGTTTCAGACATTGTTAACCGCCATGTGGGTGCTGGGAATCAAACCCGGGTTCTCGGCAAGAGCAGCCAGTGCTCTTAACTGCTGACCCATTTCTCCAGTCCCAGGTCTGTGGTGATGGGAGAGCTCTCAAGGTCTTTGGAATCAGACAGACCTGAGCCAATAATGACCCTATTCCTCACTATCTCTGTGATGCCTTTGCAGCTCTATTTCCATGTTTGCAAAGCAAGGATAATAGCCCCCACCTTCATGAATGAAATTAATAATATACATCAAAGCTTATATGGGCCAGGCACATTGTAAGAAATAATAGCCTATTGCTCATGTTTCATCTCAAACAGCATCACTGCCTTCCTGAGAAGTCCCCAGCATCCCATTCCCAACCCTTAGGACTCTGAATTGTGGAAGGAAGCCTGTCACAGAGAGTACCGTGGCTGCTTGTGGAATCCTTCCTGACATGAGCTGGAAAAGGGTCTGTAGGGGGTCGTTGAGTGCCAGTGTATTGGTGAAGCTGTGGAGAGAAAAGAGAGTCAGTGGGGATCAAGTCCAGCAGGGACCTGCCCCCAGCATACAGGACTTACAAATTTCCACTTGATTTCAGGAGCTTCTTTTGGAACATGAGCATCTCTGCTCTGCAGTGCCTTTATGGCCTTTAAGGGAAGAGCAGCAGCATCTCTATCTCATCACACACCCCAAATAGACCTCATTGTTTAGGGATATTTTCTGTATTTGGGCCCTAATGCCATAATTCTTGAGTGACCATTTCTGAACCCCTTCTTCTATCAATGAGATGACCACCCATATCTCAAGGGCCCTTGGAGAGCCCAGCAATAAGCCAGGAAGCTGTACTCTGTAGGCCCCTCCTTCCCAACTACCTTCAGCTTCTCCTCACTAAACCCATCCCACTCAGTGTCATTTTCTGGCTCATCACAAGCCTGAGTCTGTAGAGCTTTGACTCACAAGCACTAAATAGCCATTTTCAATAACCAAAGAGGCGTGGAAGAGGGACTAAAAATGATCCTGTTGATGACAAACTGTGGGATATGCTTAACAAGGATATAATAAGCTCTACAGCTGATTTGAGATTTAAGCATACTCAGTAAGAGATATTTTTCACAATTCACTGGGCCCCATCAAAAATCAATGGCCCAAGGCAAAAATCTGTAGCTGAGATGTATGCTACAGCATGGAGACTTGAGATATTCATTCTTAAAACCCAAAGGGAAAATCGTCCCTCAGATCACCATCTTTTGCTTAAATAGCACCCTTGCCATGGGAGCTCAACGCACTCAGCATAATGGACAGGAGCATGCCCACCATTCCACCCTCGAGCCATAATGAAGTGTGGGTGGTATTATTCATCCCTAGATAGATGGGGTTAGAGTGATAAAGAGGCCCACTGAGGCCATCGTGAAAAATGGCTGCCAGGCACTGTGACAGCCGGTAGGAATACAGACTGAGCTTAAAATGGAGGGTCTGTCTCCACATCCAGCTCTCTGCCCAATAGGATTTATGGACAACTCAATCTAAGTTAAGCTGAGAAAGTAGCTTCACAGCCTCAGCCAGTCCTAGAAGATAAACCTACACAGGTGACATCTTTCTAATGGTCTGCACCCTACAGGGGGCCTAACCTCACCCCTGCCACTTAGAATGTGTGCAGGAGCCTAATGTATTCCTAAAGAAACCCCTCTGTAGCACCCCCTATTCCCAACACCCTCTTTTCATACTAATTCTCTATTGTTCTATTTCATAGGCCCACTCAGCTGCTGGCTGTGTGCTTTGCTTCCATCCAAGTCTCACTCTAGGCTGCTCATCCTCCCTGGACCATCATGGCACTTGGTTCAATGTCAGGTGTGATTTCTTATTAAGTACATCATTTCAGTCTCAACACTCGAGTTAATGCCTTTTTCTACCATGGCTCATGGTTCTCCCTCCACGTATCCCTACCCATCTCACAATACCTACAGCCTCACCACAAGACCAAGCCCTGGGCACTTCCTTATATCAAAACGTCTTGTATTTTCAGGCTCCATTCAGGTAAAGTTAAGCAATCACTTCTTCCCTCAGTATTTGGAGCTATCTAGACCTCCCCAAAAAACGACTACTGCAGTGTAAAACACTGAATTTTTGGAAACACTGGCCCTGAGAAATATGACCAAAATGTTTCATTCCACTTACTTGAGTTGAAAGAATGTCTCTTTATCTATGTTATAAGAATCTGGGGGCAACAGATAGCTCAGTGGGTAAAGGCATTTGCCACCAAGACTGACAACCGAAGTTTGAGCCCCAGGATTCACATGATGGAAGAAGAGAACCAACTCCAGAAAGTTGTCCCCTGACCTCCACAAGCACACCATGGCATACATACACAAATAAAATAGGTAAATAAATATTTTTTTCAAATGAAGACTCTAAAGAAGCTGGGTGTGAAAGTGGTATGCCTGGATCCCAGCACTATGGAGGTTGAAGCAAAAAGACAGCAAATTCAAGGCCAGCCTGGGCTACATATGTTTTATAGAAAAAAAAAACTGAGCATATGCCTTTAATCCTAGTACTCAGGAAGCAGAGATAGGCAGATCTCCATGAGATCAAGGTCAGCCTGGTCTACCTAGCAAGTTCTAGGCCAGCTGGAGTTACAGGAAGACCATGTATCAAAAAAAAAAAAAATGGAGAAGGAGGAGGATGAGGAAGAGGAGGAAAAGGAGGAGGGAAGGAGGAGTAAGAGGAGGAGGACTCAGGACAAGAAGGAGGAGGAGAGAAGAGAGGAAAAATCTGAAAATGAGAAATACTATATCCATAGCAGAGAAGACAATTTGTGTAGAGCTGGAGCTTCTCAACGCATCTTGCACTTCTCCCTTCACACACACACACACACACACACACACACACACAATCCTCCCCACCTTTGGAAAGGAGGCTTCTCTGTTCCTGTGGTCTCCTTTGTAATCTGGACTCACCCACTCATGACCCAGTTGTAGGTCCTTGGGTCCATCTTGCTGGCTAGGAACAAAGCATGACCCCACAAGTGGTTCTTCATAGCCCACTCCAAAGCCTCCTGAAAACCAAAGCATGGCATTCAATAGTACCTTCCTAACTTCCTCCAATGAAAATAACAAATTCCCACATATAGGCACCCTGAGCAATAGCAGCTGGATCTCCTGGGAGACTTAGAAGAAGAGCAAGAAGGTGGATTCCATTCAGTATGGTATTACTGTCTAAGCTGGCCACTTTGCAAGCCATCTACTACATCATTTCATTAGTGTCCCCTCAAACAAGTTCACCAGGTCATCTCATCTCTTTAGCAGGTTACACAATACTTATAAGAACCTAACTACTGGGCTGGAGAGACAGCTCAGCAGTTAAGAACACTGGCTGTTCTTGTAGCAGACCTGGGTTCGAATCCCAGTACCCACATGGCAGCTAACAACTGTCCGTAACTCCAGTTCCAGGGGATCCAATGACATGGGTGCACTTACCTACATGCAGGCAATACACTCAAACACATAAAATAAAAATAATAAATAAAATATGTATTAAAAAACTACCAAGAATTAGAGAAGTGGTACATCTTAAAGATTGAGTCTTAAAATATGAGTAGCCATATTTGTAAGCCCTTGTCAAGAAATTCCAATGGACTCTCATACGAACATTTGAAAATTGCCCTGTTCTGACTTTTTTCTAGTTCCCTGTCTAGAACTGGTAATGCTAATTACTCTTGCCTTTACTTCTCCTTCACATCTCCTATTCACAATTCAAAGACTTTCTTTTCCTCCTTGAGATATGAGTTATGCAATTTGGGAGTCTTTTAGATAGACCCACTGAAGGCGGTATTTCAAATGTCTCACTCTGCGTCCCTATTCAACATGGAAGAAGCCAGAGCAGGCTGCATCCCGATTCCACGTTGGCAATTTGGGTAACCTCTTCAGAGGATGGTGTGATAAGAATAGGAGGTAGAAACTGGCTAGGCAGTTAGGGAAAAAAGACCCCAAAGAAAAGTAGGCAGTTTCTTGGCTAAAAGTCAAAATGTCCTTGGGCCTCTTAGCAACATACTCTGTTCCAAAGGCCAAAAATATCAAAAGTATTTGGGAGCTTGTATCTAATCCTTAAAAGATTTTAGGGTAACCTCTTCAGAGGGGGCAATGTTAGAGTAGCCAAAAGCCCCATTAAAAAAACAAAGAAATACCATATGAAGTTATCAGAAAAAAGTGATTGGGAGATATGGCAGGAGTTGGAGGGGAGTAGGCATGGATTTGATCAAAACACCTTATATGCAGATATGAAATTATCAATAAATTACTTATTTAAAAAAAAAATATGAGTAGCCAAATGGCATTCCTGAAGCCCTATGAAGGAACAATGCCTTTTTGGAAAAACTGTGGCAGAGACTGGGTCTCCCTTCCTGGGTACAGAGCTCCTGGGTGTGGTTGGCTCCTGGGTGTGGTTGAGTCTAGGCCATGGCATAGAAATGAAATCCCAGGTGCCACTTCTAGGTTTTGCCCATAAAACCATCCATACACACCCACTCCACATACATCACTCCATCACGTTGTTGGAATGGAAGGACTCCTAGGGAACCTTGGAAACTCTAAGGAAAGATGGTAGCACTCCCAGCATCCTGAGTCTGACTGTGTGAAGGAGGACTATCCCACTGGCTTGTATAAAAAGTAATGAATTGCTTCTGTTTAAGCCAGTGTAGTGGGAGCTAGCCTGCATGCCTAATTCCAAGACTATTTGTTAACTATCAAATGCCTTCATAGACCAATATTGTAGCATCACTAATTGGGTAAGATGGGCTAGAGCTGCAAACTTTAAAGCACATACACACATATTCATCTTTTTAATTCAACTTATATTTGACATTTTGGACTGGTATTAATAACTTCCCTGGTGGGGGAAAAAAAAAAACATGATTTCTGGCAGAAAGTCACTAATGAGGTAATTCTACCTCCAAGTAACAAGTACTTTGATTATCCCAACATATTTCCATGTAATTTTGTTGGATGGAGGGAGAAATTTAAATAGTTACAACTAGGGAGTCCAGCCTCAGATCCAAATCAAGTTAAAAATGGCATTAGGTTTACTTTTTTCATAGCATGCTTTAACTATTTCATAATTCTTTTTTACTGTTTTGAAACCGAGTTACTAATGGATTCGTTGGGAATTATCAGTTGGCTCAAAAATCTGCCCCTCCCAAAAATATAATTTAAGAATAAATGAAGAAATTGAGAACTTATACCAAGGATATCAAGTTTACAAAAAAACCAGAAAAAAGACCCAGTCACATATGAATAAAAATATCTCGCTATCCCTCTTCTTGTTCATTACCCTGCATCTACCCAGTGTTCCGTCTAAGCCCTCGCTCATTTCTAGACCAGTGATGAAGTAATTAAAAACCTGTGTTCAGGCTCATGCTTCTCAGATCTAAGCCCCATGTCCATCACTAGCTTCCCAATCTGCAATCACAAAAAAATACTGAGGAAAGTATTACATAGAAGGCAATGTATATGTTTCATATAGAGACTATGATAAAGAGCAAGGGCAGCAAAATAGTCCTAACGTCAAATCCAGAATGCTGCCTGTTTGGGTATAGCCCACAAGTTTAGAACACTGTCTACCTTTTTTAATGATCAAAAAAGATGAAAAGAAAAATATTTCGTTACATATGAAAATGATATGTAACTCAAAGTACTGTGTATACAAATAAAGTTTGAAACCCAGCCAAACTCACTCATTCTGTATTGCCTGTGACTCTTTCATACCTCAAGGGTAAAGTTGACAGTGCAGCAAGACCCAATGGCCAGCAAAGAAAGACGGTCCACAAAGGCTGGAAGTATTGGCTCACCAGGCCTGGAGTTATAATCAGTTGTGAACCGCAAAACATGGGTGCTAGAACTGAACTTGGGTCCTATGGAAGAGCAGTATGTGCTCTTAACCACAGAGCCATCTCTCTGCCCCTTGATGGAAAAAGCTTGCCAACTCCGAAGTTTATCTTCTAAGATATAGTGTTAAATGAAAAAAGAGAAGTCTAGTAATGATATAAAAAAACTCAACCCGGGCTTGGTGACACACACCTTTAGTGCCACCACTTGGGAGGCAGAGGCAGGCGGATCTCTGTGAGTTCAAGGCCAGCCTGGTCTACACAGTGAGT